TGCTGGCGCGGGTGGGGGGCAGTTCTGGCGCGGAGGCCTCCGTCACCGCAGCGTCCCGCCCGGAGGTTGCTTCACAGGTGCCAAAAATACGCGGCAAAGGGGCCGCGCCGGCGTCATCCCGGTGGGCTGCTCCCCTCCGCCGTCACACCCCCCCGCCTGCTCCCCGCCGTCCGTTCTGCCTGGCACCTCGCTGCGAGCTCTGCCCAGCTGCGGTATTGGGCCTTTCCGCGCTGTTTTTTATGGGCAGGTGAGGAAATTCCCTAAAAAACATTCGTGTTGTTTTTTTTTCAAGAATGGTTTTATGCAGTTTGCCTCATGTTAATACATTTCATGGCAGAAGACCTCAAGTAAGAGGACTGAAGAGGTTGGATAAGGGGTGGGGAAAGCACAGGTGTGAGAAGTGGGAGGAGTGGGGCTGAAATAGAGGACGGAGCCAAGTGGAAGCTTGAGCAGGGGAAGCCAAAACCAGTATAGGTTGGGGCGTGGGGATACAGGACATATTCCTACGGGATGCCCCTGGAGGAAGGGGCATGAGGCTGGGCCACAAGCACCAGAGCTGATCATACACAGTACTTCCTCCCTCTCACCCTCTGCCATCAGAAAATAGCTGTGAATGTTAACTGTATGTCTCTCATCAAGCCCTTCTAGGGACTCTTCCACATGTACAGACTTCTGTTGCAGTCAGTTGTATGAAGGATGCCTGTGTGAAATGGAGGCAGCACAACAGCGTGGATGTGCTTACCCCTCTTTCATTGTTCCTGACTTTGGCTACAGTTTCATGAGACCAAACACGCCATTCTGATGTGCTTTGTATGGATTTTTTACACAAAGGTAAGAGACCAAAGATGCTGTGCAACAACTGTGTTTATGAGCTAATGCACCACATCCCAGCTCCACTTCCTGATGTTGCAGGCACTGTGGCCACGCTCGATGGAAGGGATGAGACAGCAGTATGAACAAGTGGCAGGGAGGAATGGCACTGTTGCTGGCAGCAGTGCTGGCACCTTCAGATATCTGTCGATCTGCAGCTATGGGGCTCGAGCACTTGCTTGGTGTGTCTGTCCTTGGTGAACTGCAAAGACAATCGATGAGTATGAAGGAGGCTCAGCCTCAGCAGTGCCTTCTGTGCTGCTCCTGGGTGCCTGTCTAAACTAAACATCATTGAGTGAGTGGAAAATTTTTATTTTACCCTTTGTGGATTATTTTCAAAGACAACAAGGTTTGTTAACACAAATATAATGACTGAATTAAGTGTTAAAGGTGGCTATGAATAGTACTTTTTATGTCTGATAATTAAAAATGTTAGCTTCTCAGAAAGGTCATGGCACACTGAACTAGCAATTAAGCAAATTACAGATGCTATTAAACCCTCTCTCTTCCCCTGAAGGGAAAGAAGAGACAATAATGGAGAGAGACTTACAAGTTGGAAACTGAACTACACAGCTTTAATGAAAGAATAGTGATGGAAAGAAAAATAATGACATATATACAAAAGGTATATCACATTCCCACCTCCAATAATGCCCTCATCA